ATGTTTCTGAAGACAATCACCTATTGCACCTTTAATATTTTTTTGGGAACTGTGATATTTTTTTTAAGGATTCTTTGATAAATAAAAAGTTAAAAAGAACACTGTTTATTCAAAATAGAAATTGTGTGTTACAATATATACACTACTATTCAAAAGTTTGGAGTCAGTAATTTTATTTTTTTTAAGAAATTAATACTTTTATTAAGCAAGGATGTCTTAAATGGATAAAAAGTGATAGTAAATACTTATATTGTTAGAAAATATTATAAGAAATATTTCTATTTTGAATAAATGCTTTTTATTTTTTTTATTTATCAAAGAATCAAAGAAAAAAGTATCACACATTTAAAAAAAAAAATATTAAGCAGCACACCAGTTTCAACACTGATAATAAATCAGCGTATTAGAATGATTTCTGAAGGATCAAGTGTCACTGAAGACTGGAGTAATGACTGATGAAAATTCACTGCTGCGTAAGAGAAATAAAATATATTTTAAAGTATATTAAAGTAGGAAACTTATATTAGAAATTGTAATAATATTTCACAATATTGCTGTTTGTTTCTGTATTTTTTATCAAATAAATACAGCCTTGATGAGCATAAGAGACTCCATTAAAAAATATTTAAAAAATCTTACTGATCCCAAACTTTTGAACGGCAGTGTTCATTCATTCGTTCATTTTTGTCAAACAAAACAGCAGCTTGGACATTCTGCAAAACCTGTCCTTTTGTGTAAAACATAACAAGTTTGCAACTACATGAAGGTTAATAATAATGACATAAATCAATTTTTAATTAAATAACTTTTTAATGATTACTAGACTATTAAACTCCTCTTTCCATGCCATCTGCAAAGCTAAAATGGATGAGGTTTTGGCCCAATCTGTTGTAATGTCTTCCTTCAGTTTAAGACTTCCCAGACCATCCCGTGTGCACACAATTGATCCCTGTATTCTTTTCATGCAGAGCACCATTGTTTACACAAAAGCTTTCAATGACCGCTAAAACATTATATCCAAAGAGAGGATATGATGTCGTCTCCTGACAAGAATTGTGCTCACAGGAAGTGTGATTGGGGCATGTGGCAGGCCGCAGATGGCTCGTTTGCACCAGATAATGACTCAAACAGAAATACCATCACCATCCAACTGTCTGTCCCATTAGACTTTGGGCACAAGGGCTGATTGAAGATGCAGACGCAGTCTCACATATTTGTTATCATATTTGATTTATCGACAATCCTTGCAGGCATGCACTGAAAGAGCTATTTGTGCAGTATAAAGGTTCAGTGCAGATTACAGTGAGGAAACAGCACTCGTCTCAGTCTCTATGTCACTTCCTGTCGTCTGAGGATGTTGTTTGCTGTTTGTGTTGAGTGACCACCCTGTGTGTTTGTGCGTGTCCATTTTAGCCTGTTGAGGACCACTGTCTTTATTGTTAACTAAAACTAAATCTATGAAAGGTTTTTGATAATTGAAATAAAGCTGAAATTAAATGAAATATTAATATTGGATCTACAATTTGAATCTAAAAATCTGAAATGAAAATAAGAAATGTTTTAGCATGCTGATGTTTAGTGTTGTTATTGTTAACCAAAATTAAACCCAGTAAATATTAGGGCTGTGTATCACCAGCAAAGTCACAATACGATACGTATCACGATACAGAGGCCACGATGCGATACGCATCACGATACAGGACTGCACTGAATTTCACCTCAGCAGAATTTAGAAAAACAGCTGTTTATTAAACACTGCTTACTATAGTGCCATTTCTAACTATTGGCAGAGCAGGCAGCTGACCCATAAATAATAAAGTACTCGTTCTAATACATGAATATTGTAATGTACTCATTCTAATATATATAAAAAAATCACTTACATTGCTGGTAGGTTATCATTGCGTAGAACATTGAAGTGGAGATCGCTAAACTGCAAGCTGAGCGGTGTTTTCAGAAAGCAAGCGCGTTTATTATCCACAGTGGAGAGAGAGCGCGTGTGCACATGGTTGCCAGGTTGACAAAGATAAGTAGCACACTTAGCAGATATTTCCGTTTTGCGCAAGTGTAAAGCTCTCTTTATATCAGGCAACCCAGATGTGTTCCTCTGCGGCCAGATTAAACCTTATTGTAGCCTATATATGCTCTATTCTTTCTTTTTTAGAAACCTCGCACTTTTCTACTCAATTTTAAACGTTGTAAAATTTTAAACAAATTAAGCGCGGTCCACTGCTGCACACGTGCCACAATATCGATACAGGGCCAGCTGTATCGATGCTCGTATCGTCAAATCTCTGTGACCATACATCGTCGTATCGATATTTTGAACACAGCACTAGTAAATATTGATTTGGTTAATTGAAATTGAAATATTTATTGGAAAAACTTAAACCTAAAAAAAAAAAAAAAAACTTAAATGAAAATGAGAAATATTGCCAAGGGAACTAACTGAAATAAAATGCTTAAGCTGAAGTATTATAAATAAATGAATGAAACTGAA